AGCAAAAAACATAAATTTAAAGTACCAAAATAGCACAAACAAAAATTTAAAGAATTAAAATAGTATTAACAAAAACTAGAAGGATATAATAAATAAATATGAACAAATTAGAGCCTCAACAAACAATTTAAAATAAATAAAGTTGCCCAAATTTGTAATAAAATCTAATTATATTGACTAAAATGCAAGAAAACATAAAATAATAGCTAAATAAAAAATAAACAAGGATCCAAATGCAAAATTAAAATAATCGAGGCTAAATCAAAAACTAATAGTGACTAAAATAAAGGAAATGAAAGTTACAGGCATAAATCATTACAAAATATAACATATTGGTGATCGAATTGAAAATAACGAAAATAAAGCGCCTAAAATAAAATAAAATAAAATAAACGTAGAGGTTCGGTGACTAGAATGTAAAAACAAGGTAATATTAGAGAGACCTGAACGTGATTAGACGCAAGGATTTGGTGACCAATGTGTAAAAACACGACAGAATTGGGAGGGCCTCAACGTAATTAACCGCACAAGTTTGGTAATTGATTTTTTTTAAAACACACGATAATGGAGTGGCTTAAACATGAATAGACCACAACTTTAAGAGACCAATATAAAATATGACAAGAAATTAAAGGACCTTATGTGAGATTAACCCAAAATTATCATAAAATCAATTATCTTTTTCCCTGATTTTCAATTCTGCCCGAGTTTTTAATTTTGAATCCCTAGCCTTCTTTTTCTTCACCTCGCGACGCAGTAGCTAGTTCCAATAAATTGGAGCCCACGTCTCCTCGGCCAGCCTATATGGGTGGCCTTTCTACTCCGGCCGATGGCTTACCAAACGAGGGGAACACCACGAAAACAAACCTCTAACCATAACTCACGATATCTCTTCACAGATGAGGACCAAACCACGAAACGACCACCATATGCGGTGGTCTGATGACCCCAACTAACCTATCACCTCCCAGACAACTTTGCTACTCCGACGAACCCAATCGACAGTGAGGTGAGATGTCCCTGTCGCTCTTCAAATTCTATTATTTTAGAACCCATGGAATTTTCATAAGCTAAGAACAAAATTATAAACTAAAATTCTTATTATTAGTTGCATTCAAGAATTGAACAAATAAACTAAAAAAACCGAAATACAAACTGAAATACCTTAGGATTCGATTATGTTTTTGATTGCTAAAATGTGTTTCAATTGTTGAAAGAAACTTTTCTGTATTTTATTGCTATATTTTCTCCCCCATTTACATGGATTTCGGTTGGGTTATATACTCATTACAAAGGAAAAAAAAATGAAACGATAATCGAGCAACTCATGGGCTGCTGGCACAACATGGTGGAGTAGCATGGGTAAAGAGGTTGGTGGCTGACAAGTATGGGTGGTGGAAGCAATTGGTGGTGCCCAATATGGTGCTTCTTGTTGGCGGCTGACAGGTATGGGTGGGGCATGGGCAGCGTTAGTGGAATTGGTGCATGGACAAAAATTGGTGTTTACATATTGTAACTGGGAGTAGAGATGGATAACGACGTTGAATCTTCGAGAAGAAGATAGGAAGAGGAGGAGTTGGTTGATGGATTTGAGTGTGGGAGTGAAGCCTCGTTTGAGCAGTGTTTGGAGAGGTGGGATTTTAGGAAGGGAAGAAGTAGAGAATTTTGTGGGAAAAGACATAAATTTTGTTTTAGTGATTGTTCAATGATCTGGACTGGACCACTTGTTGAGTTACTACAATTTTCTTGTAAGTATTGAGAGTTTGTTTTTCGTTAAATTACACTATAAATCACTCAATTATTAGTAATATTATAAATTAGTCTAAAAATTAAAAAGTTACAAATGAATAATTGTTTTCATTAAGTTAAAGTGATTACAAAGTTATATATGTTCTAAATACTCTTAGGTGGCGTTTGGTTCGCTGAAATGTTTATGAGAGAATTATAATCTGTGAAGGAATTGGAATCTGAATCTGAAACATGTTTGGTTGGCAGGAAATTGAATTGGAATCCAATTCCATATTCTGTTTGGTTCGCAGACATGTCAGATGAATTTGATTTCAGTAATGTAAAAATGTCGAGTTTTTGGTCTGGACCGGACCAATTACGCCCATTTTCTTCAAATTGTTGAGAGTTTGTTTTGTTGGTTAAAATACATTATAGATCCCTTATTTATTAGAAATATTATAAATTAGTCACTAAAAATTAAGAAGGTTACAAACTTATCATCCAATTTTTACAAACATATTGTTGTGTGTTGTGTGTGCTATAAATTAAACGCGAAATATGCAAGTATACACAATCAAACAAGTAATATAAAAGTGAGTGAATATCGTCTCCACATGGATTAAAGGGATTTTAAAGAATGTTATAGCAAAAAGGGTGTTACTAAGTGTGTGTCATTGATAATATACTTCTGTTTTCTTTTGAATGTATGATCCATGGTTTTCGATTGCTATCACGATTATATTTTCGCTTACGTTGTATTTATTATGATTACGACAATTAGAAATTCTTGTGTTTATTATGATTATGACAATTAGGGATGAATTTCGATGGGAAGGGTAAGGGCGATCACTCCTAAAAATTTAAAATTATCATAAATTTTAGATTTTATCCATGTATTTTTTATTGAAAATTTATTTTTACCCCTGAATTTTATAAATCTTTATTCCGCATCGCATCAAATATCATTCGGGCTTGCTCTAAACTCTTCCACCTCGGATACATTGTTATAAGAGCAATCCCCACGAAAACCTCACTATCCAATCCAGACTTCACTACAAGAGCATGCAACTCCAACCCCAAAAGAAACCCTTCAAGGTCCAAACAGAAAGAAAGTGCAGTGGTACCTTGGGGATAAAAGGTGTCCCAAATTAGGTGGAATACCCCCGTAGTATGAAAAAAGAACCCTATACCACTCTATTTGTGCATGATTGAATTCTGGATTTCATATCTTCCTTCTCCAATGTTGCTTCAACAATGACCTGCTCAATATATTTATCATTCAAGAGGGTCAAACTGAAACGAAACTAAACAACTAATTTGTGGTTCGAAATCATTTTGATGATAAATTTTATATTTCTGAGAATCGGAGAAGTTTCCCATAGAGGCTTATGCTGGATGCTAGACAGTTGACGGAGCTACGAGTTCATGGAAACCATACCTCTTGTACTTTGTTTCCAGATCGAGCAAGTAACTTATATTGATTCTCAAACATGGATGCCATATAAACCTGCACCAAAAAACCGATTGCAACAGATAATTTCAAATCATCTGAAAATATGATTGATGATGACCGAGCTATTATTCAAGGGATATTATTATTTCTCAACTTTCAATAAAATTAACATGTATTAATAGGGACACTATACAAACAAATGTCTATCAAGACCCATAATCCACAAACTAGTAAAACTTCTCAAACCAGAGGCAAAATATGTTGAAGAGAATTGTTCTATCCAGAGGTGATGGCAAATTTGTGAACTTGGGTACCCTGTTTTGAATCACCGCAAGATCCCTTGAGAGCCAGAGCCAGTGTAACTTCATCGATAGCATTAAGTTGGCCTAATTAAGAAGTAGTTTGAGCCTTTTGAAGGCGTCAAAGGGGAGATTAACAGGGTAAAAGGGGGTTGGGTTTGAGTGAGGACTTTCATCGAGCAGTTGGTGAACATGTTTAGACGGATGCAGGTTTCCCTAGATTGTGGACCATTGGTTGGTGATATAACGGAATTGACGGGCAATCATGAGAATTTCATGAGAGACAGGGATTGAATCAGAACAAAATTGAAGTTAATCTAAAACCCTAATGATTGTTCTTTGTGCGTGTGTATTTGTTTAATCAACGTGTGCGTTATGTGTGTTTGAGTATCTGAGGCAAAGAACATGCAAAATTTGTGAAATGTGTGTAATGAATTGCCCGTCCAAGACTCTTAACCATATATTCGTGAGATCGAGTCTCACGGTAGATAATTCATAATTGCTGGAGGTCTTTCACGGAAGTTGCTTTCAATCTAGCATTGAGGGCAGCCTACTATCTTATCTCCCCTTCATCATCCTATTACATATGAAAATAGAGTCAGCTAATTTTGCTATTAGGAAAAAACTAGGGGATGAAATTAATTTCTGACTATCTATTGTCATTATAATGCATATGAATTTAGGTAAAATGGGATTATTTTCTTTAATTTATTAAAAAAACACTGTTTCAGTTTTTACGTTTTTATTTTTTTTAATTTTAGTCTCAATTTGAATTTAAAAAAATCGCCTTGAAGATAAGACGACTTTGCGTAAAATCATTAAAATTACATGACGACTTCCTTTAAAAATAAATACATGTTATAGGTGGGAGAAATAATTGTTAGAGCTATTAACAGTTGATTAGTTATATTGATTAATTTAAATAGATCAATAAATTGTTATAACAATTACTAAAGTTTCTTGACTGCAATCCATTTTAAAAGTTAAATTAATGTTTAGATTTATAAGTGTTTACAAAACACTCACTAAAACTCTCTAATATTGAAAAAAAAATAATTTGAGATTTTGAAATTAAATAAGTTAGGATATTTATAATTGAAGCTTAAATACCCTAAAGTATATAGAGACTAAAATACAATTATGTCAATACCATTTTCAACAAAATATAAATGCATCGAATTCCACCGAATTAGACGCCCCTTAACCCCTCTTTTTGACTTCCCCTTAGCCCCCATTTTTTACTTTTCTAACAAATGAAATATTGTTTTTTTATATGATTCTTAGACAGTTACATATATGGATATAAATTGGAGTTGTGACTACGTTTTCAGTTGTGATGACGATTGCATTCGGTGTATCGCGTTTCAGACGCACTTTACTACTGTATAACGGAAATTATGATGAGAATAAAATATTGGGTTTTTGAATGCAAGATCGGGCGGACTGCTCCATGCAAACACACTAGAGTTGTGCCGGAAAAATGTTGAATAAAACAAATTAAAAGCCTTGCAATTGTATCTTCTTCTTTGATGCTACAATGTCTATGAGACCTTCAATCATGATGCACATTAGTAAACTCACACTCTTGTTTCTGTTCATTACTTTTTCAGCAAAATCTGCTGAGAATGAGAGTGAAGTCTCTTATTTTGATCACTGCTCTTCTGTTGTTCCTGAATCTGTCCCCAACTCTGAATCTTACAATGATAGTTTTGGAGCATTTGATGGATATGGCCCTGGTTATTACATTGGTGGAAATGGAATTCTCAACCAGAAGATCACCGGAATCTCGAATCAGTTCTCGTTCGAGACCGGATATGCGTCTAGAACCGTTGCAGATGGCGTGTGGAAGATTAAAGGAATCCTTACATTTCATGGATCATATGATCCTGTACTGTTAAGTCCATTTCATTTGAATCTCCATGGATTCTGGTCTGAATTCTCTGGGAATCTATGTATGGTGGGAACAGGCCCTGCTTACTCTAAAGAAGGTAATTTGCTTACTCCTTCAGCAGTTTTTAAGCTTAGAGATCTCAGGAATTCAAGTAACATCACTGCTTTGATTACCGGAACGTTAGACAGTCTAAGTTCTAGTGATGGGGTGGACTACTTTGAACCGATTTCCATGATCATGTTTCCGGTGTCGAATTACGAGTACGCTTTCGATTCGAGAGAATTTGAAGATGAGTTTTCTACTGAAAGTGATGCCTTGATGAGTTTTCCATCCAGTGAACTTCCAAGTAGAAGTTTTTGCTCAATGATGTTGGGAAATGTAAATGAATTTGAGTTGCAGTATACAAGTGACTGCACTTCTGGGAAGCAAAATTGCCTTCCGGTTGTTTGGTTGAATGGCTATTCACCTCGTTTTCTGTCGTTTTCGAGCATTAGATGTTCAGAGGTCGAAAAGAGAGTTCGGGTTTTGGTCGAATTTAGAAACACTAGCCATGTTGGAAAATACCCTTCTTTCAATCCATACACAACGTTGATCGGAGAAGGAACATGGGATGATAAGAAAAACCGGCTGTTCGTTTTCGTTTGTCGGATTTTAGACATCAGAGAATCATGGTCTAATGCTCATGTCGGTGATTGCACAACAAGGTTGAGCTTCAGGTTCTCTGCAGTTTTGTCTATTCAAGATACTAGCAGCACCAGGGGGCAAATTTGGACCACGAAAACTGCGAACGATTCTGGTTACTTCAATCGCATCGCGTTCCGAAGTACTGGGAATCCTATACAGGGAGTTCCTGGTTTGAAGTATGAATACACGGAGTTTAACAGAGTAAAGAATCTATGCCTGAGAAATGTGCGACCATTGAGAAACAAGGCACAAAGATATCCAAGTGGACATTCCACAAATATGAAATTCGACATGTTGGTTACAAGTTCAGAGAGAAAACATGGATGGGGTTCGGCAAATCCTCTCGATATCGATGATCAGTTGCCTGCAGCAAGGCTTATCAATGTTAGCTACGAAGTGAGCATCACATTAGAAACTCCTAGAGAAGATGATAATGGAGTTTATTTTGCTTATATTGAACAGAAACTGGAGATTACAGCTGAAGGGATTTATGATTCTGAAACCGGGACATTGTGTATGGTTGGTTGCAGAAAATCGGGATCCGAAAATCAAGTGTTGGACAATGCTTTTATGGATTGTGAAATTCTTTTGAACTTTCAATTTGCTCCATTGGAACCAAATCAAAATGAAGGATATATCGTGGGAAGCATCGAAAGCACACGGAAAAGTTCTGATCTTCTTTACTTTCATCGTCTAGATGTGTCTTCAGCGACCTACAAAACTGATCAACGAAAATGTTTGATTTGGACAATGGACGTTGAGACTACAAAGGTTCTATTAACTAACACACTAATGTGCATCTTTGTAGGATTGCAGCTTTATCATGTGAAGAAGAACCCCAAAGTACTGCCCTCCATTTCACTTGTTATGCTTGTGATTCTAAACTTGGGCCACACGGTTCCTCTTGTACTAGACTCCGAAACCTTGTGCTCACACAAAGTTTTGCCCCACAATGGTGGATTGATCGGATTAAACGAAGTGATCGTGACAACAGTTATGGTCGTCACTTTCCTACTACTATTTCACCTTCTCCAATTAACGGCCTCCGTTAGATCGCACGACAGCAACCGGAAGACGTTGTGGTATGCAGAAGAAAAAACCCTACTCGTGATTGCATTTCTATATGCTGACGGGGCCAAATTCATGCTGCTTACCGCCTGGGAGAATCGCAGACCTCATGTTGCGTTGCTCCTCTCGTCGTATGGGCAACATTCCATCTGCAATTACCTAAAATCTTATGCAGGTTCAATCTTGGACAGTTTTCTTTTGCCTCAAGTACTTGTCAACATGTTCTCTAACTCGAGACAGAAGGCTCTCAGCTGCTCGTTCCTTATCGGGATCACTTTCGTTCGATTGGTTCCACATGCATACGATCTTCATTGCAATCTCAGCAATGTTTCATTGAATCCTGACCGTTCTGTCTCTGCTGCTTGGGATGTTACTATGTTGTGGGGGCTCCCTGTGCTTGCTGCAATCATTTTTGTTCAGCAAAAGTCTGGTGCTCATTGCATTCTTCCCTCTAGACAGTTGGACTTGGACAATTAATGAATAAGTAATAGACGGTATCTTAATCCCTCCGGGATATGTTTTTCCTTGTTTCTACTGTTTCCCAAAAATTTTCATCTCATTTCGTTATTTTTTGGCTTACAAATTCCTACCACCATCACTGATTTTGAGTATTATAATGCCAGTCAAGATGATTGATGTAAGCTAAGCTATAGAGATGTTGAAGAAGGAATTTAAATAGCGGTCCATTATAAGATTAGTGATTGTTATATAGTGGTAACAGTGTTGTCCACAACAGTTATTGCACTATTGCAATACCCATAATAGCGTCCCTTGCAGTTGCAATAAACACAATACTATTGAAAACACGACTGCAATCATAATTTAAATCCCACTTATAGCTTAACCGCTACCATTGCCATACTCCATTATTTTCTGTTGCTGAACAATGCATATAGTTTTTTCTTGTTGCAGAGAACAACACTCAACTCTTTTCACCAAGAAATTTCATGATTTTATCATAAAAAATAGGGTAAATTACTTATTTGGTCATCCACTTATTATCCAATTTCTGTTATAGTTATCTAGTTATTATTTTCTTTCAAAATCATACTTAATATAATATTATACTTTAATTCTTTTTAATGACATGCCCGTTAACAAATTGACAATAAGAAATCATAATATAATCCATATATAAATATACAAACACGAATGGGTCAAGTTGGGCTTTTATGTGATTGAGTCCATTCATTTTCTTTTGTAAATAATGCTTTTGTTAACATTCTCAAAATAAATCTGCCCATGGCCGGGCTGCAGATTGGTGTTCAGATATATTGATCATCAACCCCAAATTCGCCTAGCCAGTTTGTTTATATTATTTAGCATTTATAATATTTATTACTAAATTTAAATATATTTTTATTATTAAACTTAACTTTTAAATTAATTTGTTTCACATAAAATTTATTTTATTTAAACCTCAACTCTATATAAACTGAATTTATGTACGAGACAACGATTGACATAAGATCTTATACCAGGAGGAACAAATTTATAATATTTTTTTGTGTGAAAAAAAGGGTAAAAACTACTCTAACTAACTACTACTAAGGTCTAGTGTCTAGCACTAATGTTGGAAGGACATCTGTGGAAGGGTCTTGGAACACCCGGTAATCTATTGTACCCATCTTTGCAAGCTTGGCGAGCCTATCTGCAGTCTTGTTTGGTCCCTGTTGTATATGGAAAATGGATATAGTCCACTCCTCGTTCAACAGTTCATTGATTCTGCTCACAATCATCCATTGTGATCTATCTTGTTTCTTTGCCTGAAGCTTTCGAGCCGCTTTAATTTTGTCTACCTCAACTATTACTTTCTTCACGCTTAGTCCAAGCTTGACTTAGACCTTCATACACTCCCCACATCTCGGCCTCTAATATCGAGCAAATGTCAAGGGATTTAGAGGATCCCACTTTCCATGCTCCGTTTTTCTTTCTGATGACTCCTCCACATTAAGCAAAGCCTGTTCTCCCATCGAGTGCCCCATCAGTGTTAAATTTGTACCACCCTTGTGGGGGGTTCATTGTCCTTTCACTTGTTTATCTCCTTCCATGTTGGTAGGATTTGCTCTTCCTGCTTCGAGTGCCAACCAGCTTTCCCTTTGTAATCTCCTACAGGCCTCTAAGATTGTTTCCGTTTCCATGTTGTCAGGATCGAAGATGTGAGTATTCCGATGACACCACAGCTTCCATATTATCGCGTCAAATAGCAAGTCCCAGTTCTCCATTATTCTTGCGAAGTACGATGCATCCTCTAGTTTTCTTCTCAACCAGTCTTTTATGTTCATGCTCATAAATTCTTGGAGTCGTTCGCTTTTGATTAAGGTCAACCATACTATTCCAGTTCTTGGAGATTTCCTCAACCAGTCTGTTGTTTTAGTTCAGCCTCGCATGCCTCGCTACTTTGGTTTGTTGTCAAGTGTCTTCTGCTTCGTTCATTGTTCGTTAATAGCCTCTCACTTGTCACTAGCCAAAGAAAAATCTTAATTCTCTGCATGCCTCTGAATTTAGCTATTTATCCCCAAACTTTGTTTGGTTTTTCTACGTTGCATGAGTTGGGTTCTTTCATCATGTGTTCATATGACGACTTGACTGAGAACAACCTATCGGGTCACCATTTCCACCCTGGCTCGTCAGGTGAAGAGTTATGGAAGGATGGCATTGTAGCAGCAAGCCTAAGTAGCGTCCTTTCCAGAAACATGTCCTGGAAGCTTTCCCACTTCTATTCTCCCCATTCATTTACTATTGATACCGCCGTGGCCGGGGAAGATGTTGCGCATTTGATTGGTCTATAAGTTCCTCTTGAAGCATTCCTCCCTCTCCTAACCACGGATTTTTTTTCAAAATTCCACCTTCGTTCCATCTCCTATATTCCATAACAGTCCTCTTCGAATATCATTGTATTTAAGGCTGATGCCTTTCCACAGACGGGAACAGTTCTTTCAAGGGAATCCGTGATATTGTCTAGCCATTTGTATTTTGTTTTGAGGACTTGTACCCAAAGTTGGTCCTTTTTCTTTATTAGGTTGTATCTGATTTTTGTTAAGAAAGCAACGTTTTGATGTTCTAGGATTTTAAAATCGAGTCCTCCATCCAGGACTATTTTACATAACCCATTCCAGTTCACTAGGTGGATTCCGCCTTTCTTTCAGCACTTCCCCAAACAAAACTCCTTATCAGCTTTTCGATTTCATCGCACGTTCCTTTGGGGAGAAAGCTCGACTGCATGGTGTAGTAAGGAATGCTTGATAGCATTGCCTTGGCGAGAGTGATTCTTTTGGCTAGGAAAAGGGTTCAAGCCTTCTATCCAATAGGTCTATCTCTTACCTTTTGAATTAGGTAAATATATGAAGCTTTGGTGACCCTGTTGTGCAAAAGGAGGACTCCTAGGTATTTTCCCAGAGCGAGCACCTCATTGAAACCAAATTGGGAGTTGATAAGATGTCTCAAGCTATTGTCCACGTTTTTAGAAAAAAATAGATGGTCATTTTTCTACGCTTATTTTATGACCAGAAGCTTGATAAAATTCTTCCAATACTCTTCTTATCGTAGATAGTTGCTCCAATGATGCTTTGACGAATAAAACTGTGTCGTCCGCAAAGAATAATTGTGATGTCGGTAGATCATCCCTTACTAGTTGAACTGCTTCCAATTTTCATTCTTTACTTCACACTGAATTATTATTTTTGGATAATTCTGATTTTATTACCCAAATCAAGGTTTAGTTACAACCATCCACCAATCAACAATGAAAGAATCAAAATTACAGCCTACAAAATGATTGGTTAGACTATACCCCAAGTATTACAAAGTATTAGGTTAGTACTATCTAGTCTATTAATATTTGTTCCCCTAAGGCGGATTCCAACAACGTCTTTAACATCTTTGAGCAAGCAATTAATCGTTCTACGACGTCCTTGGAATATTCTCTGGTTTCTTTCTTGCCACATAGAGTAAATAAAAGCAGTCCAGGAAATTTTCAAGATGGAAGTAAGAAGAGACTTCCCTTTCCATGATGAACATGCCTTTGAAACCATTTCATCCCATGATAAGTAAGTGATCTTCATCCCATTAAGATTCAAAATTGAATACCAGAGTTCCACTGCTAGAGAACATTGCGAAAAGAGATGGCCCCTTGTCTCGTAAGAGTTGCAACAATTAACACAAAGACTGTCTGTGGTAATTCCCATTCGAAGTAGGCGGTCTCTAGTAGGCAATTTGTTCAGTAATGCCATCCAAGTTATCAAGCTAAACTTTGGAATATGCAATGGAAACCAAATAAGTTTATGCCATGAAACATTTTGCCCTTTGAATCGAACCAAATCCCAAATTTCCCTAATATGCGGTGAACCGGCTGAAAAAATTGGAAAAGCTTCAGCCCTTGTTTTTAAGATTCTGCTGATACTCCAACTTACATTTGCAGTAGCTCGGAAATGCCAAAAGTCCTGCTCCTTGAAAATATAGGCCTTAAGCCATGCAACCCACAGTGACCCGTCTCCCGCCAATATTTTCCGAATTAGACTAATGAGGCAAGCTCTATTCCAAGCTTTAATGTTCTTTAGTCCTAGGCCACCTTTGGATTTGGGGAGACATATAGTTTCCCAGCGCACGCGAGCACCAGCGGCAGATTTATCTGCTCCTTTCCAGAAGTACCTTGAGTAAATTTGTTCCACTTTCTTAAGAATAGAAGCTGGTAAAACAAGTTGTCTACACCAGTAGTTGCTGACGTTGAATAAGACTGATCGAATGAGCTCTAATCTCCCTGCATAACTGAGATTTCTCCTAACCCAGTGATGAAGCTTGAGCTTGATGATATCAATTAAAGGTTGACAGTCTTTTTCGGTAAGCTTGCGGGTGACAAGAGGAATACCAAGGTAACAGACAGGAAGTCTTCTGATATGAAACCCAGTAATCAGTTTTAATTCCTCAGTGGTTGTTAACGTAAGCCCCGCAGCAAAAATCTCACATTTTGAAGGATTCAATTTAAGCCCAGAGATTCCATAAAAGTGATCAAGAATAGTGAGAACACCAACAACAGATTCAATATTACCTTTGCAGAAGATCATTAAATCATCGGCAAACGATAGGTGAGTAAGGCCTATTTTCCTGCATTTAGGATGATAACCAAACATTCCTCTTTCGGCAGATAAATTAAGCATTCGAGATAAAATATTCATTACGAGAACAAAAAGGTAAGGAGAAAGAGGGTCTCCCTGCCTTAGGCCTCGTGCACCTTTAAAGTAGCCGATTAATGTCCCATTAAAAGAAATGGAAAACCTTGCTCCTTTAAAACAAGCTTCGATCCAAGCAATGAAAGCATGAGGAAGTTGGAGAGCTTTAAGAATTTGTGAGATGAATCCCCAATGAATGGAGTCGAAAGCTTTATGCAAGTCAATTTTCATAGCGCATCTTGGGGAGATAGAAGTTCTGCCATATCCTTTTACCATCTCCTGAGCAAGAAGGGTGTTATCAATAATGTTCCTTCCTCTGATGAATGCTGTTTGATTCAAAGTGATAATCTCAGGGAGAAAATCAGTCAATCTTCTAACAATGATTTTAGTAATGATCTTGTAGATAACAGAACAACAGGAGATCGGCCGGTAATCTTTAACTGCACTCGGGTTAGGAATTTTTGGAACAAGAGCAATAATAGTAGAATTAAAAGCAGGATGAATTGTAGTATTAAGAAAGAAAAATTTGACTGCAGCTACAACATCCTCACCCACTATATTCCATGAGTTCTTGAATAAGTATGGAGTGAAACCGTCGGGACCTGGAGCTTTATCATTACCTTGGCAAAAAATAGCTTTCTGAATTTCTTCTCTAGTAATTTCTTTAACAAGGCTTGCTGAATCTTCAGAAGGCAGTGAGAAATTGATTAATTCTTTTAGTAGAGTAAGATCGGTTTCTTTTACCATGTTGTCAGCTGTTCCAATCAGATTATGAAAGAAAGAGATAATTTCTTCCGACATTGCTTCAAAGGACTCCAAACGATTGCCTTGTTCATCAATAAGAACACGGATTGTATCACGCTTATTTTTAAAAGCAATCGTCGAGTAGAAAAAGTTGGTGTTTTTGTCTCCATCTTTAATCCACTGAACTTTTGCCTTTTGCTTGAGAAACGAAGCTTCCGCATCTTCTAAAGTTTTCAACTCATCTTGTAATAAAAGTTCCTTATCGAATGCTTCCTCGCCCTTTAAAGTTAGGATTTGCTGTTGTTCCAACTCGCTTCTTATCATTTTAACTCAAGCCGAAAGATTGTTGTAGTTCTCCTTGTTAAATCTTATAAGGCAAGTTTTGAGCCTTTTAAGTTTAGTAAGGAGGATTTGCATAGGATTTCCATGAGCAGGTTGGAGCCAGGATTGGCTTACTTCATTCAAAAAGCAAGGATGAGCAGTCCAAAAATTGAAGAATTTGAATGGCTTTGGCCTATTTGCTGGAACTTCTTTGGAAAGCCAAGTAAGAGACATGCAGTGGTCCGACACTCCTGGAGCAATAAACTCAACAAAAGAGTTATGAAAGGTCGATGCCCAATTAGAATTTATCATGACCCTGTCGAGTTTTCTTGCAAGGAAAACTTCTTTTTGCTTGTTACTCCAAGTGTAAGAAGGACCAAAATAAGGATGGTCATGGAATTCAAGCTCATTAGCTAGATCCTAGAAATCTTTCATATCAGAAGTGAGATAATTGCCAATTACATCATGGTCGGAACTTTCATGGGAATGCATGATAATATTAAAGTCCCCTCCTAGGACCCAAGGTGACTTATTAACAGTAGAATCAACTTCTCGTAAGCTATGCCAGAGCTGTCTTCTAGCAATCCCATCGTTACTTCCGTAAATAGCTGAGATAAACAAAGGAGAACCATGGTGAGATCCTCTAACAGTAACGCATTGATCAGTAATTTGAATGATAGAGAGATTAATACCCTTCCTCCAAAGAACCCAAATTCTACCATTATAAGCAAAATCATAATTAGAACAATAATTCCAGTTCTGGAATTTAGAAGTGAAAATTGCCTCTGCTTTGTCCACCTTAACTCTAGTCTCAAAAAGGCAAAGGATGTCAACATTATTCTGAGTGGCTCGAAGTACCACTTTATTCTGTTTTAGAGGACTGTTAAGTCCTCTAATATTCCAGAAGCTGATTAACATTGAGAAGGTGATCCCAAAGAACCCCCTTGACCTCCAGCTTTAAGACCTTTAGCTCTATCAACTTGTTCCTTCTTTTTTGATTTAAGTTCTTTCACTAAGTTTGCAACTCCCAATGAAGCAGCTCTCGGTTTTCTTTGCAAATTTTCTGAACAATTTGGTGTCTCTTCAGCATTACTGAGTATATCGAATCTGTTTGATGACCCTGAAAATTGAGATTTAGCTTTTCAGGTCTGCCTCGACTCCTTTTAAGCACATTGGGTTGAGCTATATCAATTTCTACAATTTCAGTAGGCTGTACGAGTATTGATTCACTTGCAGCAACAACAGTTTGGAGCGAGACAACAACTGAATCGTCGCCTTGTTGCTTATTAGCAGCTTCATTAGATGAATTAAGGTTCTTTATTCTAGTTGGAGCATTAATGTCGCAATGAACCTCAACCTCCTTTCTCAGAGCATTAGAATCGCTTCCAGCAGTAACTTGCGTATAAGCAGCAGTTGAGTCTGTTGATTTTTGGTTATTTGCTTCAGAAATAGTAGAGGCATGATTCTCTATTTTTTCAGGTTCTTGTAACGCTTCTATCCCTCCAACATGAGTGGCTGCAGAATTGGGAATGATTTCTCCTTTCTTCTTCCAAACTTGTGAAACAGTAGGATTCGTGTTGACTTTAAGCATGCATCATTTTTCATTATGTCCGAAAACATTGCATCTTCTACAAGATTGGGGTAGCCAAGGAACCTCTACACTGATCGAGGTTGTTTGCCCATCTTTCAGTACTATATTAATGTGTTTAGGAATTGTATCTTTAACACCAATTTCTACACAGACTTTTGCAAACTCAAGCCGTGATTTTGCAGCAGTAATCGAGTCCATAGAGATTGGAACTCCAATGGCACTTGCTATATAGCTTAAGCCTGCTCTAGAGAAAAGTTCAAGGGGAACGTTGTACAATTGAACCCAAACAGGGATTTTAGACAAGTTGAAGCTAAGGCTTTTCAGGTTAGGTTCCCATTTCCTAAGTATTAAGGGTTTATTATGCACATGCCATGGACCATGTTCAAGTACCCATTCTCTAGCAGATTCATTACTAAAAGAGAAAATGAAGATGTTATTTCCAGCAGGACTGACCTGGATTCGAGATCCCGGCTGCGCTTTACTCTTGAATTCATGTATTTCATTATCAGTCTTCTTAGTGTATCTGAGATTCTGATGTCATTTAGAGTGTTGTTAATGAATGACCATTCGAGACTATCATAGGCCTTCTCAAGGTTAATTTTTATTACCATCCATCTTTCTTTTTCCTTTTCCGATTTCATCGAGTGAATGACTTCTTGGGATATTATTATATTGTCGGTGATGGATCCACTTGGTATGAAACTCGTCTGGTTTCCTATAACCAGTTGGCTATTAGTGGTTTTAATTGGTTCACTTTTGGATCAATGCCTCAAAATCCTCATGCATTGTTGCATTCTTTTAAACATGCCTTCATTATTAAAACATAAAAGAGTGACAAAATTTGTTTTATTCAAAAGGGGAAAAAGTACCCCACCTACTACATCCTCATAATATTCGACCCAGGACTAAGGAAATGAAATCAAAATTAGCTCAGATTGAAGAGAACATATCAACATTGCAGAAAAAATTAGAGGATAAACTGAATTAGAACCATCAGAGTACTATAGACTTCATTACAAGAGGGCAGGCCACCCTAATCGACCAAATTGTGGTAAGATTGACATGGCTGAACTTTGTAAATTGACCAAATGTACTGTGCTGTTGATGATACCTTGAAACAATTGGGAAGTCAACATAATTAGTTAGAAGTTTCTGTTTGATTAGATTGGGACAGAGAAGATATTTAGTAAGCTCTATTATGTTGCTAAATTGGGTGTGGGGTATTAGATGTGGATATTTTGGTAAGGAGATAACATTTTATAATAGGGATTAACTTTTAAAATTTTAGAGAAGATTATATTTAAAAATATTTTTGAATATATATATATATATATTAATAATATAACATTTTTGTATAAGGTAAATATAAATAAAATTTTAAGATAAATATTATAATAAAATAATAAATAATAAAAATATTTCAGATTTAAAGTTAGGCATGTGCCCACCTAAAGTATACCGTTAATCTCTTACTAGGAGAATGTACTTATAGATTTTTTTAGGATGAATATATTATTGATATTTTTATAAAAAAAAATATGTTAAATATATAATAATTTAAAATTTTAAGGGATGACTACGTATTATTACTTTCCCTCCCTACATTTCAGATATGTATAATATATAATATAATACGAGTATGTTTAATTTAAAAAAAAAACTTTATATTTGAAGGTGCCAAATATGGATTGTTGAAGAAAAATGAAAAGTTTGGATTTTGAAGTAGCATATTGAAGTTTGGAGTTGCAGTCTGAGCAGCTAGCTAATATCCTTATGAGAATGGATACATGGACAAAGTTGCAGACTTTTGTCTTCCCTACCCCATTTGCAGTAATTTTTATTGGAATTAGGTGTTGATTTTCTGCCTCATTCAGTCATCATCTTGAATATTTCTTTTTAGTCCAAGGTTTTAGTCGCCTTTTTGAGTCATCTTTATAGCTTGATGTAAACATGCACCCTTTGACATGTCAAAAGCCAACCAACATTTCATCAAGCTTTTATATTTTGGCACCATTTTTATCTTCATCCATGGCTGCCATAGCTGCTTCCTTGTTCTTGCACCTACTTTGTTGCCTTACAGTTTTCTGGCTTCTTCTTCTTCCTTCCCTTTCCGCTGATCCTGATCCGTTACAGGACTTTTGTGTGGCAAACCTGAGTGGCTCGCTCTCTGTTAATGGTTTTCCTTGCAAACCGGCATCCGAGGTGACTTCTTCTTCGATGGTTTCACCGAGGAAGGTAACACGACGAATCGCTTCGCTTCGTCCCTCACGCCTGCGAATGCGCTCACGTTTCCGGGACTGAACACACTTGGAATTGCGATAAACCGAGTGGACATTGACCCTCCTCACTCGCACCTTCTTGCGAGGAGGTCGGTGTGGTCATCGAAGGGAAGCTCCTCGTAGGCTTTGTGACTACTAACAATGTGTTTTACTCGAACGTCTTGACTGCGGGACATATTTTTGTCGTCCCTCGTGGACAGGTGTACTTCCAACTCAATGTCGGGGAAGGTAAGGTGTTAGCGTTCACGGCTTTCAACAGCCACTTGCCCGGCGCTGCGATTGTTCCACTAAACCTCTTCACTTCTTCTATTCCAAATAAAGTGTTAACGAAGAAGTTCCAAGTCGATGCCGATGTTATTGATACCATAAGATCCAAGTTCAACCCTGCCATTCTACTTGGGAATTGCCTAGTTTATGTATGCCATTTATCCACCATATGTATCACTTTGATTTAAAGAATAAATGTCTCACTTTGATTTATGAATTAAATTGTTACTCAAAATTTTCCATTACAAAACTAAAGACCTTTTGATACAACATTCTTGATTTCATCATGTTTCAATGTCCCTAAATTTTGTAGCAGCAAATATTTTGGAACCGTATACAATATCATTCAAACAACTCAAGATTGATGCCGGAGATTCCTTTGCTATTTTCCGGTTTCAGCTTTTTCAGTCATTGATATTTACTGCAGTTGAACACGATCCGAGACCCTTCGAAGGGACAAATAACTAATTATGTACCTTGCCAAGCACAAACAATATCCTTGAGAGCTGGTTTAACATCCTGTTGCAGTGTGTTTTGAAACTCCAACGTATCACCACTGGACTTCTTTATCTCTACTAAATGGAAAGATGGGGTGAACTCGAATATCTTGACATCAATGGCCAATGCGCCTTTTCTACCTCTATTCGATCCTTCCATTTTCATCAGTCCTCCATCTTTCATCTTAACTTTCAGCTTCAAACTCTCGGCAATGTCCTCTAGTTTAGATATGATAGCAGAGGCAGTGTGCGTAGAAGTGAACTGCATTTCCTTCTTTTTCTGGTCATTTTCGTAAAACAATCCCGATAAATCCAACCCACTCGATAAGGAAATGATGTCGAAGGCATTCAAATTAGTGAGCTTCTTTGCTTCAAATGCATTGTAGTTAGCCAATTCGGTTTTGGGTCGTCTCTCGTCTGGTTTGGGGTTAAAACCCTTTCTGAACCATGGAGTTGCCATGATTCTCGCAATCGAAATTCGCTCTTTTGGATTAGGATTGAAGATTCTCAACAACAACTTGGTGACTTCTGGTGGAAACCAGTTAGGGACTTTGTAGTCAGCAGTGCTTATTTTCCTATACATAGCCATAAGGTTCGAGTCATTGAATGGCAGAGAACCAGCCAAAAGAGCATAAAGAACCACCCCACAGGACCAGACATCAGCTTTGGCTCCATCATAGCCCTTTCTGTGTATAACTTCGGGCGCCACATATGCAGGGGTTCCACATGTCGTGTGTAGTAACATGTCTTGATGCTTTGACTCCGCGAGCGCACTCAGGCCGAAATCCGAAACTTTAAGAGCACCGTTTTCATCAATAAGCAAGTTTTCTAGCTTCAAATCGCGGTGATAAACGCCTTGGGTATGGCAGAAATCTACCGCACTGATCAGTTGTTGGAAATACTTCCTCGACACGTCTTCTCTCAACTTTCCTTTTAACACCTTCTGGAGGAGTTCACCACCTTTGGCATATTCCATGACAAAGTAAATCTTGGTTTTGGTTGCCATAACTTCATAAAGCTCCAAGATGTTAGGGTGTTTGACGAGGCTCATTGCTGATATCTCCCTCTTCGTTTGGTCGATCATCCCTACTTTTGAAACCTTATCTTTCTGGATCACCTTAACCGCCACGCTTTGGCCAGTTTCGATGTTCCTTCCATGGTAAACTTTAGCAAAGTTCCCTTGGCCTAACAATCTTCCCATTTCATACTTTTTCATCAATACTTTCTCCTTGTTTTCCATACCAAAAGTTTTGATGAATCCTATCACACTCCCTAGTGTACTATTATCTCCTGCAGCAATTATAAGGCAGAAATCAACTGTCGACAAGGTCACGCATCAACACGACGGAGATCTTAGCTTCGATTCTATTAAAATAATATCGAGTCGAACATGAATCGGGTGTCTGCTGTTGAGTATTCAGAAATAGACACAACTTTCTGCAGTCCCTGCTGTTGTCTGGATCTGAATGACACAAAGAAGCAAGTAGACAATGATTCAATCAGCTCGTATGCACCATAAATATATACACATTTATCCTATATTAATGTCCATGATTCAAGTAAAGAAATTCTGCACTTGAATGTCCATTGATGCACCAAATTTCATATCATCTTTTCATTCACAGATTCAAAGCAAACACAGCATGGAACATTCATTTGGGTTAAATTTTGGAAAAGCACCCAGAAACAAACATTTAGAAGTCCACAATTTTCACTGCACAAACATGATTCAACAATGAAGAAACAGATTTAAAATCAGAACCATTGAAAATCAATGAAATTGAGGAACAAAGACGTACTTTTGAGAGAGTTTTTGAGAAAAAGACGGCCTGTTTGAGAATAGAGATGGACACTATTCAATGTATTTAATGAAATGCAATTTGTCAGGTGAATGATTGTCATTACTGGTTTTGAACTATAAATAGAATTAACCTTTAATCTCTGCTTTTTGATTCAAACGAAAAGGGTGGAATGGAACAAAACAACAGATTCCAGAGCAAAAATGTCAGCTTCTCTCTTTCTTTTTTTCTATTTATTGTTTTAAATGAGCTCAGGATGCTACTACAACTCAGATATGAATATATGTACAACCCGAGATATTCAGTTTTTTCTATGTTTTTCAAAGATACATATGTCCGGATATGTTTTAATTTACTGTTTATGGTTAGCTCAGCACAATAATGTATTGGTATTAACATTTAACAATCAAAAGCAAACCTAACTTATTGTCAACCGTCCAAGTTCTAACCAAAACAATTCTTGCAAATGACAGGTTAAGAAGCAAGCTTCAAATACTTCATAGTGTAAATTCTATTCTTATGCTGCAAAGCTATATTCTATTTCAACTAAAAACCTTTCTATTCCGAATGGTTTTTGTTTAGGGTTCTTCAATAGGTCATTTCGGTTAACCGATCGAATCGAACTACCAAAAAAATCATTAACCAATTTTTTTTCTCTTAACCATTATTTGAACCGAATTTCTTTTGAAAATTCCTAGCAGAACCAAATAAAGTATAGTTAGTCGGCCGGTTAACCGAATTAATCGAATTTTATAAATAATATATATTATATAGTTAATATTTTCGATTAATATGATTGAAACTGCCTTTTAAACACTCATAATATATAAATAATATATATGATATAATGAATAACTAAAATTTCAGCTAATTCAGTTAATTAATCGATTTCAAATCGAATTAGTAAACATTTTAGTATGACTGCAGTTTTGTGTACCTTGCCCAGCCCAAACAATATCATTGAGAGCTTGTTTTGAAACTTCAACTTATCACCGCTGGGCTTCCTTATCTCTACTAAATGGAAAGATGGTGTGAACTTTTTAGTGCATAATATTGTTGCAAAACAATTTATTAAACCCTAACAATTAAAAATAAAATAATAAAAGAAAATATAACGATTTATTATACTATGATAAAATTTATTGTTTTAGAAATAATTTTGTTCGGAATGGTGTAATCCTAAAAATGAATATTGCACTCAAAGTTAGCACAATCTTTCAAACTTCATACAAATTCATCATATCAATTCAGTAAATTCATCATATCAATTCAGTAAATTCATCATGTACGTCTCACAAGAACTACCTAAATCTTAGATTATGAACTTGTTATGAGTGTAAAACTCAACCTCTCAAGTCAGTGAATCAATCAAGTCGTCTTTCTAGGATCACTCTGATGAGCGTTTTAAATTGTCGCTTTTTTACTTTCTAATTTTCCTATTTTATGAATACATCACTATTAATTTGGATTGTATTTCGTTTATTTTATGTGCAGTGATTTGTTTACTGAAATTGGAAGAAAAAGGGCGAAATCTGCATTTTTTTTCATGGTCGCGGCTGGAGACATGTGCACGACGCTGGAAACGACGCGGGTCTGACGTGGTAGTTTCTATAAAGAGGAAGATTCTGGAAGCTACCTAATTAGCACAATCTGGAGAGATATTTGGGAATTCAGTTTTTAGTTTGAATTTAAAACATTTGAATTATCTTTGGAAATTTAGGAATATCTTTATTTTGAATTCTTTGTTATTTTTAAGATTTAGAAGTCTATAAATGCCCTAGGTAAGGTTTAAGACATCTTTTGGGTTAAATTTTATTTTGTTATTTTTTTTTCGATTTTATAAAATTTCCTTTTTATTTTCATTTCTGTTTTTACTTTAAGCTTTTTACAAAACATGCTAAGTAAGGTTTTCACTATGCTTAGCTAATTTCTTTATTAGCCGAGAGCTAGCTATTACTCAATTCCATATGTAAGAATTGAAAAGCACTAAAATACCTTCAGGAATACATTTTCGATTTTCTGTTTTATTGGGTTGGCAATCAACCTTACCTACAAAATTAAAACACTTTGAAATCAAAAAGTCGATGTTGGTCTGGATGTTGTTTTAATTTATAGTTGGAGGAAGGATCGACCTATGGCCAATTCGACTTCCTGTGAACACACTTAGTAAAATCGAGATCAGATTCGATTCTCGACGAGACAACATAATCTGAGTCGGGCCTTTCCAATACTTAATTATGTTTGTTCTAGCTGTAATAGCTATGGTTAGCCCATTCAAGAATCGACTTTCGAAGAGTGACTTGGGAAGATCGGTTAGTAGAGAGAAAATCAAGTTACAATGAGTTGGGCCTTGTAGACTGTAACCGACATGAATCCCAGAGCAAAAATCTATTTTGATGATCAAACAAAATTGAAACAAAACTAGCTTGAGGCGATTTTCTCATTATTGATTTAAATCTATATTTATGCTTTCCTTTATTTTTAATCTTTATTTTCTATCCATCTTCATCTCTCAATTACGAAACCCCATTTTCTAATTTATTTTTCTTATAGTTGCTTGGATTGAAATCGACACTAAATCACATTAGGAATTTCTATGTCCATGTGGATCGACCCTCTTTCACTATATTATACTATATTTATTTCTATTTATTTTATTTGATAAGAGGATTTAATTTACTTTGACGAGTAAAACGATGCTTGTCACACCCAAATCATAAGCTATTAATTTGTTAAGAGTGTGAAATTCATCCTTTAACATTGACAAATCCATCGAGCCATTCTCACTAGGACCAACCAAAACCTGGACTATAAATCCATTACGAGGAAAAGCTCATCTTTATATGTATACATTGTTTGTCATAGGAAAATGAGTAATTTACCTCAATCAAATGACCTCGTAAAAGTTATCAACAACCTTATCAAGCTTGTAGCCGTGCACATATCGCTTAGATTACAAAATCATATAAGCCAGGTATAAAGTGTTTTCATGACGTGTGAATGTAGTTTATGATGAATATAAAGTCCAAATCATATGTACCTTTGCAAATTGGTTGGTTTGAAGTAAAACCATACCTCTTGTATGTATAATGATTTTTAAGTGCATGTTGAATATGTTTTTAGATGTTTGAATTGACATGTAATGTTTCTTGCTTGTCAAGTAATTAAATAAAATTATTTGTTGTGTAAGAAATTGAAACATGCAGACTTAAATGCAGAAGTTTTGAAACTTCTTGTCCACTTTCGAAACATCATCAAATGAGTTCGAAAACTCTATGGATAGTTTTGAACCTTTTTCCATTTGAAGTATTGTGATTTGGATACTTTAGTCCGAATTTTGAAACTTTAGGGTAAAGTTTCGAAAATCTGTCTCTAGTTTCGAAATATCATATATAAAATTGTTAAATGTCTCTGTAAACCATGAAATAGTAATAAAATTAAGAATATCTTGTTTGTGTCGAGATATTTCTCTACCCTGGCGACGGAGAGTATAAATAGTACGCCCCAAACGGTGTAACTAGTCTTGAAAAAAAGTAAGTGTTTATCCTCCATGAATCAGATTAAACGCCAAATTGTAGAGTCGCCACCAATCTTTTATATGGTGAGATTGGTCATCAAAATGTCATATTGTTTTAATAAAAAATTCCTAAGAATATTATTAAAATAATACAACTAGGGTCTGTTTACCAGAAAAATGAGTTCGGGAGTCGGTTACGTATGAGAAAGAATTAACATTCTCAAAATGCCCAAAATTGGTACCGGTATTTATTAATTAAATGTCTTTGCAGTAATTATAAATTTGTTCTTTAATTTAATTTTAAATAATAATATAAATAATTACTAAATATTTAACATAAATATTATTAATACTATAATATTTAATATTAATACTATATTATAAAATTATTTTAATATATAACATTATAATTAATCTTATAATAATAAATAATAATTAAAATGTAAAATATTAAAGTTAATTAAAATGATTTAAAATATTATTAAAATTAAATACTTATAATGTAATTTTCCCTAATATATATATATATATATATATATATATATATATATATATATATATATATATAGGGATTTGGACTAAAATATGAATATATATAATATGAAAACCAAATTAGAATATGCAAAACCTGATTTCAGTGACTAACTTGCAAGGTTTACAAAACTAGGGGAATTGCGGACGTAATTTGCCCCCTGATAAATTACACAGAAGACCTTCCCCAAAACGGCGTCGTATGGGAGAGGTTATTTAAGCCCTATAACCGGCCCAGAGAGAGATATCACTCTCATTTCTCTTTTTTGCCCCTCTCTCTTAGAGAGAAAGGCTCTCAACCCTTTCTAGAAATCCCTCGCCTGAGGGATAGCCACCACCGGCCGGCTGCCTTGTTCTGCCGTCATCCACCACCGTCGGCCACCACCCATGGTGGCCGGAAAATGCCAAACTTACCTAGAATGTAGATCTGAATACCCTTGTCCCAAATCTACCCTCATT